CCCCTCCCCTCTTTTTTTTTTTTTTTTCTTTCTAATGCTGAGGGAAACTGGCATGTATCTTTAAAGATATTGAAGGGCTGGGTTAAATTTAAAATTTTTTCTTCTTTAGGTACACCTAAGAAACTATCATGCCAGGCAAATACCTTTTGAGGATGGTTTTTAATGTCCTATCAGCAGGAGCTAAAAGTAATTTTGAGAAAGTCCAAAAAGCTGTGGAAACTGGATGGCTGTCTGAAAGCTGATGAGGAAGGGCATACCTTCTTTAGAGTCACTGAGATGGTCTCTCTGGGGAAGTGTGTTTGGGCAACCCAAACTGTTAAACGGCAGAAATAGTAAAACTGGTCCGGAAAGAGACCTATGCCACTGTCCCCTTTGGGATGCACATGCCGCTTGAAGTCCAGGCTGAGTGACATTTCCTTGCCATGGATGTAAACGTTGCTCCATGAGGCTACCAATTTGGGCCTGTTTTGTGTACTTATGTCCATGATGCAGTGTTTAAAAAGTGCCATGGACAGGTGCCTACTTTCTACAGTAGGCCCAGAGCGTGTTAAAAAGAGTGAGTCTGAAATCTGGTACAGGTTTTCTAATACGATAAAGGCATATGTCAGTGGCAGAGTGGTTTTGGAGAATGTTATCCCTCTCCTCTGCTTGCTCCTGAGAACAGCAGACATATTATACCAGCCATTTTCCAATATTGGCAAATTTTACATGATGTTCTTTGTGCTATCCAAATATCTCAAGAGTACTTTTATCCCAACTTTTAAAATCCATAGACCAAGTTATGCCTAGTGGATGCAGGCTTTGTTTTATGGGGCCAAAGATGTAATTTTGGTTTTCCTACTGGATTAGTTACAGTATGGGACAGAAACCCCCCAAATGGCTTTCTGTTCTCTTGTTCCTTTTGATGGATAATAACTCACGAGAGTACCATCTTCATTTTAGATGTCTTTTAAATGAACTGTTTTCGGCTCAGGTTGTATGGAAAAATATACCGCACTATGGAGATGAAAAATGAAATTGTCATAATTTGGCAAATGGTTACACTCATTTTAAAATCATTTTTGTTAAACTTAACAAACTAGTGGGCTGTTCAGATAATTCCAAATACTATGTGAACTTCTTGTTTCCCATGATACTGTTATTCAGAAAAGTTGTGTTCCTTGTTAAATGTTAGGATTACATTTCATTTAGCATTATTTTAGGAAACTGTAAAATTTAAAACTAGGACAACTTTTCTATCTACTATACCTTTAAAACGTACACAGCTTAAAATTTTTCCTTTACAAACTGTTTCCCAGCTCCTTAGACAGTAAGCCTTTGAAATTTATATGTGCTTAAATGTAGGTAGAGCTGATCCACCTTTATTCTTTAATTGCTACAGCTTGAAGTGTAGTATTTTAAGTCTTAAGCTGGGTGTGGTAGCTCATGCCTACAATCCCAGTATTTAGGAGGCTGAAGCAGGAGGATTGTTGGGTTCAAGAATAGTATGGGCTGCAGAGTAAAACCCATCTCAATAAAGAAAAGCAAAGCTAAATTTAAAAAGTATTTTAGGTTTTAAAATCCTATGGCATATATTGTTAAGTGTGTAGCATCCTTGAGCCATTTTGCTTTACTGAGTTTCATCTTTAGCCAAAATTATTCATATTTTAGCAAATCAAGATTCTGCTTTACCTATAGTTGCATGTTGTAACCAACTTATTTGAACTATTAAACTACTTTAAAAACTTTTTCTTTTTTTTTTACTTAATACAAGTGAAATTTTTAGCTATTTTAATATGGATGGTTCATCTTGTTTGAAATTTTTAAAAAGTTTAGATGGACTGTTCCTAGACTAGTAGCAACTCCTGGGGTGTCTTTCAATGCCTTTAGAATACTTTCCATGGCTACTCTTTGAGTTTAAATTCATCTTCCTCTTTCTAGAAGAAAAGATGTGGAGTGGTCTTCTACCTCCTGGTCTAAATGAAAGTGATGTCGAGTTGAGTTCTGAAGATGAAGCTACAGTAGGGAACTCAGAACTTAAACTACAGGGAGATGAAGAGGCTGGTACCAGTAGTAAACCAGAAATCACCGATTTTCCAGCAGATGGGCCAAACACTGAAACAGAGGCCGATACAAATGCATATGAAAAATGCCCTTCTGGAATTCCCCTAAATATGTGGAATGTAGGTTTTGCCTGTGCTGTTAGGAGTGTGCATGTGTATGCTTTTGTTCCTCCATGTCTGTGCTGTGAGCAGAATGCGTTGTTGGAGTACAGTGGATGGGAAACAGGGCTCAGTACATTTTACTGTCCTTTGAGACATTGGGTACTTCGATTTTTGTGCTGTGTTTCATAAAGAGGAAGAACAGACTTCTTAGAATTTTACCTAAGATGGTAAATGAGTTCATATCTTTTATTTTATGAATCATTGAACTTCATTCTCAAATTATTAAAGAGCTTATATCAAAACGAACGAATATCTGAACTCAGCTCTGAGAGTTTTGAGAATTAGAGGTCTCAAAAGCTGAACTCTTCATTAATCTGATGTCTTTATAAATGTCAGAACAAAAGTTTATTGTTTAATACCTTTGTTAGTATGTTGAAGAAAAGCATGCATTTAAAAACTTTTTTTCTCCTTTTTTGCATAGAAATTTCAGGAATTGCATAAAAAACATTCTGAACAGAAAAATTCAACATCAAGATTCAGACAGAGAAAAAGAAAACGTTCCAAAAAAGGTGTTTGTTATTTTTAAATTTAGGTTGTCAGTAGTGCTAACTCTGAATGACCAAATGAGTTCATAATTTATTAAAAACATGATTTTGAAATAGCATCTGGTTCTTAAGTAATGACACTCTTAAATTCTTTTCAGGTAAATTGAAGAATGAAAAAGAACCTCACAGGTAGGTAGAGTTTGAAATAATTATTCTATGCAATGCTGTGGAACTTGTCCAGATAGCTGGACTTATCTCTGGTACTAATCAAACATGGGAAATAATTGTTGTGGTATAATTGTAGCAACCAGTTAGAACCCATGAAAGCACAAATAGGTATAGTTTGTATACATAAGACTTACCTGTCTTCTTGTAGTGAGCAGTCCTCCAGTGAAGCACAGTGGAAGGAGCTTACTCAGTATTTTGGAGCCAATGATAGATTTGAACCCCCTGTTAAACAGAAAAAAGTTGAGAAGGTAAGAACTTTTTAATTCCATCTTAAATTAAGGTGAATTGTGATAATTGTGCTTAAGATACTTGTTCATTAATTCATATAAATAGAAATCTAAAATGTCTACCATGTACCAAAAGATGCTAGATGAACAAGTAGGTGTCTAGTCCACTGTTCAGAGGAAAAGAACAAGTTGTGAAAATGATTAGCATGAGGACCTCCTGTTTTCCTTGGGTGTTGAGGGAAAACTATTTTTAAAAAGTAGTTTTATTATTTTATGTGTATGAGTGTTTTTTTCCCTGCATGAATGTAAGTGCACCATGTGTGTGCAATGCCCACAGAGGCCAGAAGAGGGCGTCAGATCCCCCTGGAATTGGAGTTACAGATGGTTGTTAGCTGCCATGTCGGTGTTAAGAATTGAACCTGGGTCCTCTGTGCTCTTAATCACTGAGCCATTTCTCCAGCTTCGAGAAACTATTCTAAGAAGCTGTTTGAGACCTGAGGGGTGGTAAAAGGTCATTTACATTAATAGTGACCATGCTGGGAACACTGGAACATGGATAGAGACCCTAAGGAAGAGTTAGCCTGGGACTTCTTACTTAGTAACTGAGATGTTAGACTGGCTTAAATGAAGTCAGTGAGGAGGAGGGTGGGTAGCTCAAGACAGAATAATACTGTAGAACTGGCTAAACTAGGTGAGATCTCAGAGAGGGAAGGGAATAGGCTTCATTTATAGTGCAGTTGACCATCAGTCAACACGGCTTTAAGAGAGTGACATGATCCATTGTATGTTTTAAATATTGCCCTGGGGCTGGGGTGGTTAAGAACACTAGCTGTTCTTGCAGAGAACCTGGGTGTGGTTCCCAGCATCCACATGGCAGCTAATAACCATCTATAACTCCAGTTCCAGGGGATCCTGCACCCTCTTCTTGCCTCTGCAGGCTCTGCATAACACAGGTACACTTACATAAATTCAGGCATAACACTCATACACATAAAATACAAATAAATAGATAAATTTAAAGATTGCCCTGATGTCATGTAGCGAACAGACTGTAGTGTAGGAAAAGTAAATGAGAAAGCAACAGAGTAGGTACAAGGTGTCTGCTGACTGAACGACAATGGGGCTGATGAAGGTGGAGATGTGGGTGGCTTTGATAAAAAAGTAGAATTGGTAGTATTTGCCTTTGCATTGCTTGCCAGGTACTAAGGAAGGTTTGAGGCTTAAAGAGGAGGTTTTTCCTAAAGCAGTTGTGTGTGTGCACAATATTGCTAGTTAGAAAATTGAGGAAGGTTAGGAGGAAAGACTTCAGAGTGGAGCCTATTCAGAATGAAGCTTGGGGTAGGGAAGGGATGATAATTAGAATACAAGGACAGTGTAAATAGTACAATGAGGTGGGGGCTCAGAGCAATGTCTAAGCTTGAAACATGAATTTGTAGTTGTCAGTCTGTAGAGCTTAGAAAGGGCTGTGAAGGAATAATTTACATTCTCATGTGGAGGGAGATGGCAATGTTGGTAGGCTCTAAAGGTATGCTCCTTTAGAACTAGAGGCCTAAGGGAGCTAGTGAATGCTTTGTATCTTGTGCTTGCTTTAGTGGATACCTTTTGCATGGGTCATTCTCGAAACAGATGGGCACTTAGAGACCATTGCTATTTTCTGATTGGTTGCTATGGTAAAAACCCTAATTTTTAAATGTAATTTAATTAATTTATTTAATTTTATGTGTATGAGTGTTTTGCTTGCATGTATGTAAGTGCACCTGTGCAATGCCTGCAGAGGCCAGAAGAGGGTGTTGGAGCCGGCCCCCCCTCCCAGACTGGAGTTATAGATGGTTGTTTGTTTGCCATGTGGGTACTGGGATTTGAGCCCAGGTCCTCTGCAAGGGCAGCCAGTGCTCCTAACAGCTGAGCCATCTCTCGAGCTCCTTCTAATTTGAAATCCATGATTGGAGGTGGTGTTAATATTGAGAAGATGTTAGGGGACTTTCATAACAGAATTTTCTGTGATTTGTTTGGAGTTTTGTTTGAGATGGGATTTTGTTATGTTGCCCAGGTTAGTATTGAACTCCTGAGCTTAAGGAGGTGACCCTCTTGCTTTAGCATATTAGCATATGAGTAACTGGGATTATAGTTACATCATACTTCATGTGACTTTTTTTTTTTTTTTTTAAAGTTAGGGTTTTACTGTGTAATCTGGCTGGCCTAGAACTTGTTATGTAGACCAGGCTGGCCTTGATCTCACAGAGATCCGTCTGCCTCTGCCTCCTGAGTGCTGGGATTCAAGATATGCGCCATCACACCCAGCACTTCATGCAACTTTCAGGCTCCAGTTTTGCAAAAAATTCTCATTCAAAATAGTCTGTACGGCTCTTGATACTTTACAGGTTCACTTTCTGTAGCTAATTACTACTATTGAGTAACAACCTTCAAACAGGTACACAAATGATAAATTTCTTACAGAGACCACTGGTAGACTTGAAATTAAAATCCAAGTCTCATGACACCATGGACACCATGCTTGAGTTCGGGTAGTGGTTTTTTGAAAGTGTATTTGTTATGGTTTTGACCCTGGTGATTCTAGTGCACTGAGGACAGGTCATGTGACTGAGGCTGCTCTTTACTGTCTGGCCTAAAGCAGGGAGGAGGACTGTCAACCCTGGGCCCTGGGCTGTGTCTGGCAGGCCTGCTGTAGAGCTCCAGCCACTGACTAGATCTTAAGGGCATGAATGGTTAAATACTGGTTCTACTGAGGATTTTTTTCTTTTCAATGTGAGTTAAATGGCCTTTGCTTTTCTGTTATTTGCAGTATTTGTTGTCTTTTTTCATGGCAGTATTGACTTTAGAGTATCTGATTGTTAAGAGAAATTAAAGCCATGAAATGGGCTTTTTAGCCGTTCTAAAAAGCAGAGATTTAAGAATAATTTTCACAGCTTATTAGATACTAGAACTCTCTGATCCCTCTATGTGAGTGGTACTGCCAGGTCCTGAGTAGCTCTTACTCCTGTAGAACTCAGTGTTTTCATAGAGTTACAAGGATTCCTTTTTACACTATTGTTTAAAGAACTCAGCTTTAGGAGCTAGTGTCTTGGCTTCAAATTATGCATCGGCTGTGTTTGAGAAGAGAATCCAAACACTTTTTTTTTTTTTTTTTTTTTTTTTTTTTTTTGGTCTTTTTGAGACAGGGTCTCCCTGTAGCCCCAGCTGTCCTGGAACTCACTATGTAGACCAGGCTGGCCTTGAACTCACAGAGATCTGCCCGCCTCAGCCTCTGAGTGCTGGAATTAAAGGTGTACACCACCACACCCGGCCCAAACACTTAAAAAAAAATTTATTATTTTCACGTGTATGTGTATATTGCCCGCATGTAGGTAAGTGCACCTGTGTCGTGCAGTGCCCGTGGAATACAGAAGAGGTTGTTGGATCCCCTGGAACTGGACTTGTGGACAGTTCTTAGCTGCCATGTAGGTTCTGGGATTTGAACCGGGTCTTCTGTAAGAACAGCCAGTGCTCTTAACTGCTGAGACATCTCTCCAGCCACCCCCCCCTTCAAATTCAAACACTTTTCAAAGTGTAGTTTCCGTTTCATAGAAATGGCCCTTAAGTCTTTACAGTAATCACATGCCCATCCACTTTGAGTTTGGGCTGCTTTAACTTCAGACATTCCTCTGCATAAATGATACCCACAGGGAAAGCTATGGATCTTCTAGCCAGGGAAGCTGTTGTAGGCCAGGCTTCTATTTTGCCAGCTCTTAATATTCTACAAATAAACACTAGCATGAAGGGGAAGGAGGGATTTAGTGAAGCTGAATTACATGTTCTCTTGGGAGCTGAATGTAATCGCGTGCCAGCAGATCTATGTGCATTCTTTGGGTCGGGATCACGGTTTACATGATGTTCCTCATGCTGTCACGCTGAGGTCTCTACTGTGAATCCAGCAGAGTAAATAAACTTAAAAAGAGTCCATATTGGAGACACCAGGCTTAAAAGCTGTGAATAAATGCAAGTCCAACAGATAGTTAGGAAGTGGAGTGAGGATCCATGGTGCAGCGGAAACACAGATTTCCAGTTTGTTATTTTATTTTTCTGGAGCTGAGACTGATCTGTTACCATATCAGAACATTTTTTTATTTTGTTTTCAAGCAGCCCTCAAGAACAGTAAAGCAAAGCAAACTTCTTGGTCTTGGGTCTGTCGTACAGCTTTCTCCCCTTTTTTGGAATCCCGCCAAGCCAGAACTTGCCCAGCCCAGCCCACAGTGTACATTACAACACTGCCTGCTTGGCAGACAATGCAAAGAGGCTTGTAGTTTTGAAAACACAATCTTCCCAATATCCAAAGCTACTTTAAAGTGTTCTCTGTATTCAGTACAGCTGTAATTGTTTCTGGCAGCAGTTCTGGGATCTACTAATTGTATAATAAGAACATAATTGAGTCTATGTGGGAATTTCTGTGGAATAATTTTTACTCATTAACTATAACTATGTCCAGTATTCTTTGGTTGACTCAGTTTGATTAGTCAGCAGTCATTACTGAAGTAGTACTGCCTCTATCTAATGGATACTTTTTGGAAAATCAGAGGCACTTTTATTATTTTTTAAAGTAACTGTCTTTGATATTTGTCTAAAGTTCTTTATAAGAAGTTCCATGTGGAACTCTACTACATAGAACAGTTCATCACCTGGCTGCCTTGTGTGGGGTCAGGGGGTGGGGAGGTGCGGGGTAGGCAGTATTAGAAAGCTCTGCTGTCAGTCACAGGAGTTTTCTTCCCAGCCCTGTGGTGAACTCTAGTATTCTAGGGAGGGCCAGTGTTAGTCTCATAACACAGAGGAAGAAACAGAAGCGTTTTAGCATAATTTGTCTCAGAAAGGCAGACAGAGGCAGGTGTGGTGGTGCATGCCTTTAATCCCAACATTCAGGAAGCAGAGGTGGGCAGATCTCTGAGTTTTAGGCCAGCCAGGCCTACATAGTAAGACCTTGTCTTAAAAAACAAAAGCAAACAGCAGGGAAGAAGTGAGACTTTAAAGTCTTTTGGTCCCAAATCTAGGGTGTTTTGTTTTGTTTTGTTTTGTTTTGTTTTTTGTTTTTTGTTTTTGAGACAGGGTCTCCCTGTAGCTCCAGCTGGCCTGGAACTTGCTCTGTAGACCATGCTAGTCTCGAACTCAAAAGAGATCTGCCTCTACCTCTGCCTCTGAGTGCTGGGATCAAAGGCATGCGCCACCACACCCGGCATCCAAATCTAGGTTTTTATGAAAAAACTGAATTTAGTTTTTAACTTGCCTGACTTACGTGAGTATAAGTTATATATAAAGATAATAAAATTGTAAATATATGATTTGTTAGTATATGATTCATATTTGTATTTGAAGGTTGCTCCTATCCCTTTATGGAGAAATTTTCCTCATTTCTGTCTAGATATTTAAATTCAGTCATAATACAGCAAATTTCAATAGATAATTTACTTGCATTATGCTTTAAAGAGTGAATATATTATCTGGTCAAGTAAATATTTAGCAGTGAGATTTGTGTAGAAATGCATTGTGTTACAGTTGGATATAAAGAGCTTTAGTCACATATTAAGAAAGATTCCTTATGTACACCTGTGGGGTGAATCTCTAACGAAAGCCTAGTGTCTGTGCAGTCCCTCACTAATGTGTGTCATCATGCTGTCCTGACATCAGTAGCAAAGCTTTAATTAGGTGACACCCTGTGGGAACCTGGTAGGTAGTGCCTTGAGGTGTGTCTTCCTTTTGGGCTGAATGAACTGCCATTCATTCCTAAATATACCTGTACTGAGACATAGCTTAAGCTAAATTCTCACTGAAGCCAAAAAAGTTAGAAGCACACGGAGGCACTGCCGCTGTTAGCAGTGTCCTCAGGGCCTCCTGTGTATGAAAGATGTCCTGGATGAGTCGAATAAAAGCTGCTTTGGTGTTTACCTGAAAACTTTTCTCTTTAAAGCTTGGATATTTAAAATTGTGTTTCATAAGACAACTCACTGACTCAAAGTTCTTGAGACTCGGACTTGGATCTGAGTCCTTGATGAAGCATAGTGAAGTATGTAACTTTGTCTTTGCCTGAAAGGCATCTGGTATTTAGAGATGGAGGAGGAGCACAGCACTTACTGGATGATTGCTGTATTCTGAGACCTGGCAAAATATTTCACCTGTCTAGACTTGGCCCTTACCATTACTTTGCAGCGTTGGTCTGATCCTCATTTTACTGAACAGGAGGTAACTACAACCACAGTTCTGAAACTCACCCCCCACCCCCATTGCTTCGTTTATGAGTGGAAGACTTACTTATTTGACCTTCTCAGCAGTGTTCTTGGGAGACTGCTGTGAATTTGGGGAATGTTCGGAGAAGAACAGTTTTTATAATACAAGTATTTTGAATGTATTTGGAATGTTAATATTATAGGTACAAAATGGAATTTAAAAAAATTTCAGACCCATTAGGAGCTATTCGATTTTACTTTTAATGGATTACAAGAAAGAACAGACATGGTGGGACCTCCCTGTAATCTCAGTGCTTGGAGGTTGAGGCAGGAAGAGTGCCACCAGTTCCAGAGCCTGGGGTACAGTGTGAGACCCTGTCTCAGAACAAAACCCAACAAACAAGCATTGCTTGAAACAAGAGAACAATGAAGAATCAGTTATATTCCGGACATGGTGGCACACACCTTTCATCCCAGCACTCGGGAGGCAGAGACAGGCGGATCTCTGTGAGTTCAAGGCCAGCCTGGTCTGCATAGTGAGTTCTAGGTCAGCTGGCCTACAGAGAGACCCTGTTTCAAAAAGACCAAAATAGAGAATCAGTTATATTTAGGAAAACTTTTGTTAAAATTTTTAAGAGTTATTAATAGAAATAAAATTGAAAATGTAGAAGAAACTTAGTATTTCAGAAGTTTGGTCATCCAAGCCAGTTGCTTCCATTGTTTCGGGGGAACTAAGTTTTAAGTATAAGCATCTTGTCTGCTTGGAACTGCAACCATATTTCTTCTGAATGTTTGGGAGAATGGGAACTGGTTGATGGTGAGAAGGTAGTCTAGAAATTTTAACTTACTTGTTTGTTTATTGAGACTAGGTCTCATGTAGCCTAAGCTGGTTTCAAACTTACTATGTAGCCAAGGATGACCTTCGACTTCTGATACCTGCCTCCGTCTCCTAAGTTCTAGGATTACAGGTGGGCACTATCAGTCCACCCAGTTTTATACAATTTTGGGGAATCAAACACAGGGCTTCATGTATGCTAGGCAAACATTCTACTAACTGAGCTGTATTCCCCAGTCTGATTTAATTTTCCTGTAAAAATTACACCTTTATCTAAGCTCATCAGTTTGTAAGGTTCTGGAAAAGAGAAGTGTTTTTCCTTTTGACCTCTTGTGACATTAACTGTTGAGCTGTATCTCTGTTATAACCAAAGGGACATAAATGAGTTGATTCAGCAAAATGATTCAGTAAGTAGACCACTGGCTTATTTTTCTCATGGGTGGCAAGAAGGGAATGGGTTCCTCTACTCACTGGTCTATGATCTGTGGTCACTCTAGCACTGGTATGTAGGTGGCAACACCAAGTCTAAACTCAGGAAGCTGGATACCTGGAAGGGAGCAGCACTGCCATGAGGAGCATGGCAGATAAAGAGTGGATTAGTGACCAGGTTGCTGAGGTGAAGGAACAGGTCTGGGGTGATTGATTGCTTGAGTAAACATTGAGTTGAGGTATCAGGATACCCCAGAATTTGTGGTACAAAAGCAATTGAATTTGATACTGTTTATTTCATCTGCGTTGGTGGCATTTGAAGAAAATACCCATTTTGCAAAGGGAATAAAGCTATTGTGTTAGCATTTCTCCAATAAAACATTTCCCATATAGATTAAATAAGTACTAGGTGTAGAGCCTACTACGCTTCTGAGTGTGCTGCACCCTGGGGACCCAGGATGGATATGCTCTTCAGTCCTCTCATACGTTTTTTTATTTCTGATCAGATAGATTTGTATGAATTAACATAACAACATGCGACCCTTGTTTGACTGAAGGATATTATTACTTCAGTATTACTGTTGTGGAATTCTTTTGGGGAATTGTCAAAGAAGTGGCTAGATAAATGTTTCCCGTATAGGTGGGCTCCTTTCGGTGTTATTGCAGACGTGGATTACTGCTCTGAGAATGTTGGCTTAGTAGTACAGGCTGAGTAAGTGCCTCCTATATGGGAGGAACTGGACTGGATTTTGGGATTCTTCTAGCCAGTGACAGAGCCTGCCTTCATCGAACATGGAACCAAAGAAGGGGGAGAGACTGTGTCAGAGTAATAAGTGCTAAAGGGAGACGTGGAGTTCAGTGACAGCATATGCAGGAGAGAAGTCTTCTGTGGGGTGTGAGGAAGGTGGCAGGGTCAGCAGGTATTTAGGGCAAACAAAGGTAACATTTGATGTGAGACTGAAAGGGTGGTTAAGATTTTTGAAGGGAAGGATATGAGAGGCACCGGAAACAGTAATGATTGCAGATATGGCCAGAGATTAGGAAGCAGAGCGCCCTGAGGATGAGGCTGAGAAAAAGGCTGTCTAGATAAAACCTAGTCGTGCAGCTCATCTACATTCTGGCACAAGCTTCTTTGCTTAGCTTTACATGAATTCATTGGTCTCTGTTTCCATAGTCTTTTTAGGTGGATTATGTTCCAGTTATTTGTCATTTCACTAAGGGCACCATGAACAGAATTGCCTCCATTGACTGCTATAGTCCAGCAGTACTGGTAGAAGAGCTCATAGTCCTTCTGCTGTCACATAAAGAGGAAGACGCCTGTAAGAGATCCAGCATTTACTGGATATGTGGAAGTGAAAGATGGGAGGCTCTTGTTAGGGTAAAATCTGCTTCCAAGAAGCACAAACACCTCTTAAAACTTTTACATTCTGTAGTAACTTTTCACAAGCTAGACCTTATTTATTCCATCAGTATATGATGGGTCTTACCTACTCTGGTAATTTCTTGAACATTTTAGTTAGGATTTCTTGAAGTATTATTAGTAAATTAGAAGATAAAATCATTGTTATATGTTGCTTCCTCCCGTGTTTAGTAGTCAGCCTAATGGCCATAGTTGAAGATAGTTAAAAGCTATTGAGTGAAATTTTGAGCCTTGGGAATGGGTTGTGGTTGAGAATGTAGGCTTCCTGCGAATCTGGATTCATGTGCTAGCTTTGCTACTTACAGACTCTGATGTTGGCCTGCTGGAGCAATCTAAGGCTGTTTCCTCATGTTTCAAACAAGATAACATTTCATGACATTGTTACAAGGATTCGGTGACAGCTTTAATAAGCCCAAGGTCTGTTATGTAGTGAGTAGTCTGTAATTTTAAATCATTGCTGTCGTTAACGTTGTTACTAGGGAATAGCAATATTTGGGCCCACCAAAAACAAACAAACTGATTTGCATCTTTTTTTTACTTGAGAAATTATATGACCTTGAGTAAGCCATTGTATGTTTTTCAGAAACTTCTGTTGATAAACGGGGAATGGTGACAAGCTTTATAGGCTCATGGGGGGAGTTCAGTGGTCTACAGATGTAATGCATTAGCTAAAGTCCTATGACATAGTAGTGGTTAACAAATGGTTAACTTTCCTTCCTCCCTTAATTTGTAGGTTTCTTTTCTTTCCAGTCAGGCCTTGAAAAGAGGATAGACCAGGCAGTGGACGAGTGGGATGTTGAGAAGGCTGAAGAGCTCAGCAGCCAGCTGGCTACTCGAGAGGTGAGTAGACTGGTTGGTTATACACTGAGGTGAGGAGTCTGGTTATACACTGAGGTGAGTGTTCTGGTTATACACTGTTGACCTTTCCACATTTTCTAAATGAATGTACATTTTTATGGTAGTGAACTCATTTTAAAATAGTTGGTATATGATTTTTCTTTTTGCCCGTTTTCTTCCCTCTCTCTTTGCTGTTTATTTCGAAATGCTAAGTTTTATGTTGTCTTTAATGCTTTTAAGTCATTCTGACCTAAAACTTAAGCTGGAAATTGATACTTGACTTGTTTACCTGGATTAGGGCAAGTTTTGTCTTACTGAGTTTGGGTTTTTGTTGCTGTTTTCAGGTATGACTGGCAGGTAGCTTTCTTTTTTTCATTTATGTCTAGTTCAGTGTAACCCTTGCTCAGGGCAGCTGTGCTCTGAAGCCACATCCTGCAGCCCCTTTGTAACCCTTGCTTTCATGCTCTTACTGCAGACTGTGCACATGCTGCCCAGGCCTACAGGGTTCCTGGCTGATTCCCCAGCTTGCAGTGTAAAACTGATTGGTATTCTGAATATTGTTTCCATCTATAGCACTTAACAAGAAGCTTCTGACTATCCCTAGAGGTGGGCGTGGGACCCCCTAGACTAAAGAGCTCATGCTGACCTGCATTTTGCTGTTGTTTTATAATTTCATTCTGTTCTTTATGGGAAAAAAAAAGTCCCCATTCCAGTTTTTATTTGAAGTACCTGACTCCCTGCCTCCTCAGACCATAACACTCCTTGGTGTTTAGTCACATACAGAGCATCATGACTCATCTGTGCAAATACTGGCCTCTGTTCAGTGTTCTAACTCACTTGCAGGTGATTTTCTTTTACATAAACTGAAATTAAAGTTCTATTTCAGTGGCTTACTCTATGGAAATACTGTTGCCTCTTCTGTCAGCAGTTGTCAAAAAATCTACCACTGGAGGCCATTGTAGTTTGTGTATGTGTTTTCCCCTATTTGGGGCTGCAGCCAGTAAGAACCTTGTGAATTTCATATTTTTATGTAGGATATAAATTCAAAAGGAGGCTGAAGGATTCCAAATTTATCTCTTTTTTTCCAAATGCTAATTCAAAACAATTGGGTCACGTTAAACACTATATAATGTTTGTGCATGTTGTATCATGGCTAATGTAGAAGAAATTATAGAGCTGTGGGCTTGAAAGACTTTGGCCAAGAAGAGGCATGAATAATAGGTGGCTTTTCAAAAGAATAATCTGATATTTTAAACTGGGTGTGGTGATGCACACCTGTAATCCTAATATTTGGGAGGCTGAGGCAGGTGGATTACTATGAGCTCAAGGTCAACCTTGGCTACAGAGTGAGACCATATTTCAAAAACAAGACAGACCCTGACATTTTGTTGATTATTTTTATTGTGATAAAATACATAGAAAATGTATGATTTTAGCCATTTTTAGTATATAATTTAGTGGCATGAAGTGCGTTCACATTGCTGTATAGCCATTCCAAACATCTGTCTCCAAAACTTTTCATCTTGCAAAACCAAAACTCTATACATTGAACAGTTACTCTGCATTTTCCCCTCCACCCTGCTTTTGACAGACACACCACTCTGTGTCTGCATTTGATTGCTGTGGGTGCGTCATGTACATGGGATCATATATTTCACTTTTGTGTCAGGTGTATTTCCTTTGGCATAATGTCTTTAGATACTATATTATATATATCTATATATCTATATATCTATATATAGTTGTATATATGTCAGAATTTTCTTCCATTTTTAAGACTGATTCATACTCCACTCTGTTAATGCTCTGGGTATTTGTGTCATTTGTTCATTTGTTGCTTGTGGACTCTTGGGCTGCTCCTACCTTTGACTGTTGTAAACTGTGTTACTGTAACTGCAATTAGACTAACGTCTGTTTGAGTTCCTGATTTCACTTCTGTTGTATGTATAGCCAGAAGTGAAATTGCTGCATCATTTAAGAAAAGAAATTACGTGTCAAGCATTTATGTCTTTAATTTGGGAGGATCCTGTGACTCAGCACAGGCACCAAAGCTTTGATGTAGTCACCTTGTAGGCACACTCTAATTGAATATTCTTTATGCTTTTCTGTTAGAAGAAATTCTCTTCTCATCCTCCACTGGTCCTTGGGCTTGCAGTTTATAACCATTCTGTTTTATGTAAAAAGCAGCCACATTTGATCCATTGAGTATAGTACATTGGGTATAGTAGCATTTTATCACTGTTTGGAAGGAGATAAAAGTACTACACTCCATTTTGCAAACAGTGTCTGTTTGCTTGGCACTTGGAACTCATCTGTAGGAGTGCTGTTAGAAATAGCACCTTAGCTTCTTGGTCAGTTTCTGAAAGTATCATAGTTAACTCATGAGATAACAAAATTATACCAGCAGTTTATCTAATCTACTCATTTTGACAAGTTGACCATGTAAGCATCAAAGAATTGGGGGGGGGGGCTGGAAAGATGGCTCAGTGGTTAAGAGCACTGACTGCTCTTTTGAGGACCTGGGTTCAATTCCCAGCACCCACATGGCGGCTACGAACCGACCTTAACTCCAGTTCCAGGGGAATCCAAAGCCCTCTTCTGACCTCTGCGGCATTGCACAACACAGGTGCACTCACATACACGCAGGCAATACACTCATACACATAAAATAAAAATAATAAAATATTAAAAAAAAAAAAAAAAGAATGGTAGGGAGGAGCAGTGCTTGGGTTGGAAGGGACTGTAAGGTGGTAGTTGTCTGGCTCGGCTCCAAGGATTCAGATATAGGACATCGTGATTGGAGTGGTGAGGAATAGGATCTAAGGAGGCTTTCAAGGATGGAAAGCATACAGATAGCAATAACCAATCACCAAGTTTCTTCCCACTCAAGGGGTGTAGAAGCTGGTGTCAGCAGCCCAGGAATCAAGCCTTTTGAGAGAGATGTATTCAACTGTATCACTGATGATAAAAATACTTCACGTTGTGCAACATGTTGAACAGGTATCTCTTGAATGACTTTAAAAATTGTGGGACTTTGTTACTGGTTTTTGGATGCTAGCTGGTCTGAAGTTGCTAGACAAAGTGTTTCAGTAAAGTCCAAGACGAGCACATAAAAACCATCAGGGCTGTAGCATGTGGTTGCCCTCTAATTTTTAGCATTTATGAATTTCTGTCTTCACCGATCTCTTCAGGATCACAGGACTCAAATTGGTGTCTTGTTGCTTTTTATTTTGGTCTCACCTTCTTAGGAGTTAGGAGGACATGATGTCTTTTAGATACTGAGGCAGCTGTCACAGCAGAGTCCGTCCGTCTACCAGTCATTTGCCTCAGACTCACACCTTGCTGGGGAAGAAAGGGTAATGCAGAGCATAGTTGCTTACCACCTGGAACCAGGGAATTCACAGAAGAGCATTTGTTTCATTACAGGTTCTCAGTTCTTTTTAGTAGGGTTAGTTATTTGATTTGACTTTAAGAAAGTTGCAAAATTTAGACCCAGATAGTTGGCTCAGTGGGTAAAGTGCTTGCTAAATGGGACCGGCAACCTGAGTTTGAACCCTAGAACCCATGTAAAGGTAGAAGGGGAGAGGTAACTCTGTAAAGTTGTTCTCCTCTGACCCTTACATATGTGCCAGTGCATGTCCCCAATATAAAACATTTTAATTGAAAAAGAAAGTTTCAAAATTTGTTTTTCTTTAATCCATATACTTTATTTAAATTGCATTTGTTTCATTAATTTCCATAATAGCAAAAGAATTTCCTGTTCTCTGACATTGCATTCTGTTACTGTGTTTCTCTAATCTAGAATCACTGTTTTTGTTTCCTAAGACCTTAATGTTTTTGAGGAGTAGAGACCAGTTAGTACACACCTCCATTGTGTTTTGTCTAGCCTCTCCTCCTGAATCACAGGAGTGGTGATGCGACCTTCTCAGTCAGGCAGTCCAGGAGCACCTGTGTCTCTTTGTCCCAATTTTGATGATTTTGATTGTATGTCTGGGTTTCTGTACAATTGGCTATTTTTCCCTTTGTAAAGAGTAAGGGACAATCTCCTTATAGGGAGATGGGAGACAATTTGAGATTGTAAATTCTCTCTTCTTACACTTTTACACGCTAGTTTAGCATGTATTGCTAATTCTTTTCTTGTGTAGGGCAATTGTGCTGATTGCTAGATGACTTTAGAGCTTTAAAATATCTTTTGATTTTACTTTCTTGAAATTTTATTTTTACTTGTGTACGTGTGCATGCATGTGTGTGTTTGTGTTCTTGTGTACATGTATGGGGAGGTTATGTACATGTGAATGTCAGTGCCCGAAGAGGCCATACAGGGTGTCATATCTCTTAGAGGTGGAATATCAGGTGGTTGTGAGCTGCCCAGTATGAGTACTGGGAACCAAGCTCTGGTCCTCTGCAAAAGTGGCAAGCACAAGCACTCTTAACTGTTGAGCCACCTCTCCAGCCCCACTTGATTATACTTTTCTTGGCAAACTAAGTCTAACAATTGGCTTAAGTGAAGTATTGGATTAGAAAGTCTTTTGGGAATCCATATCAAATCTCTCACAATCCTGGGCAGTTTCTGAAGTGATGTGCTGGGCTGAGAAGGGGTTCCATGGTGTATTTTGTGCCGGCCTTCCCTAAACTCCACCCTGGTCCATCCATTCCTGGCGAGCTTGCCTTGCTGTGTATATGTGGCTGCCTGGAAAATCATTGAGGAGCCGTGCCTCCAGGGTTTCAGAAATGGGGATTTCTCGAAGGACACGTGGGGTTCTGGTTTGGAGTCTTGTCATCCTGCTGTTTCAGAAATTGGAATTTTATAATTCTGATGAGGTGTTTTATTTCAAGGACTGTCATTTCCTGTCATTCTTTATGACAAATGAGATTGCTTTAGACACTATATTTTCAGCATGTGTGATGATAACATTTTTCTCAATTGTCCTTTTTATTTGAATACATATATAAAGCTGTGTTCTGGTAAATTCAAGTTACTGCAAGCGTAAAGAATTCTGATT